CAATGATGTCCCTAAGCCTGCAAACTGGCGGTTTAAATAATATGTGCCTGTTCCGCCCGAAGCGCGCGATCTATTCTGCTAAAGGGGAGGCGGGAAAACCCCCAAAAAGCCAGGTGTAAAGCTTTTGCATAATTATAATGGAATGGTTCGGACATTTGCAGAGTATTGTGGAATGGGTGAGTTCACCCTATTGTATCTACTATGAAACTGCAGGAAGCCTCCAAACTTCTTCACAATGTTACGAGTTATGATTAACTGGCCACCAACGTAACCAGATCTTATACAGTCAGCGGGTGCGACAAAATGGCACAAAACTGACAAAGAAGTACTGAGACATTCGGCGATGTGACACCTAGCTCCAACACTTCTCCAAGGCGCAAACCAACAACCTTCTAACTTGGAAGGCTCAGGTTCGGAAAGGTCCAAGAGGGGAAGGAAAGCGCAACGAAGAAGAGCACGAGCTACGCATCACGGCAACAAAGAATGCCGAAAGTTACTGGATGATGACGAAACTAGTAAGACTATTGGACAGACCGGCCTTACTACAACTCGACGACGCAAAGCAACAGACCACCGAACTTTGGAGGCTCAAGTAACTTAGTTTACATGTATGTAATAAACATAGAAGGAGAAGCTAAGCGAAGACGAATTGTGACAAACCGAAACGCCAACATCCTACTGAACTCCACAATCATGTATGATGGACTAGTTATGTACAATAACAAGTTGTAGTAATAGTAACAAGTTATATAATTCCTGTCGCCAGTATACTGCGAAAGATAACTGCGACTGTAGACATTTCCGAAATCGGCCAGGAAGAAAAGACGACGAAATCAATGGCTGTGAAGAAATCGCCGATAATTGCGCCGAATTCGCCGAACGTCGTTGTTTTAGTGCCTCCAAAGCGTGCATGCAAATGAACATTGCACATGTATTGGGAGCGGTAACTTCAAGTACTGCTTTGATCCGAATTCTGACTTTGGGGGTCATAATATGGCCGAATTCCGACATTTTCTTAGCCGATCGAAAAAATCAGGCCGATTTGCGAAATGCCTATCGCCATGGCAAATAATAATGGAAAACCCAAGATCAATCATGCACGCAGTATGCTCAGTATGCTGTTGCTGATAGCACAGTACTGGTTTGATTATTATGAAGCCTGTGATGTGCCAGCTGGTACTGTACTTACTCAAAACACCCGGATTTAAGTGAATAATAGCAAGAAGGTACAAGAGAGGAGCTAGAGAGAAAAGGGAAAACAAGGAGGAGTCCAGGTAGAAAAGGAAACGTCACTTGAAAGATTAGAACATTGAAAGGATCAGTCACGCAATACGGTTAATTCCCATCGTCAATCGGATAATTATTCATCCCTACGCAAGAAGTAGGTCGTTATTATAAACAAGGAAAAAATAATATTTACCAAGCATGCCTGCCAACGACGCAGAACACACTATTATTGATGCAGCCAGCCTACAAATCATGCAAGCGGCATTGATCAAGAAATGATTAGCGTGCTCGGCGACGCAAATAGGAAGCCCTGCATCCACGAAAGCACGTTACAAACCATTTTAATAGCAAGAAAGAGATACAGCACCTCAATCTTGCCATAACGCTTGAATAATGTAAATCAGGATGCTTGTTGATAATTAAAAGGGGGGAATGACCCTTCGCGCACGCCATACTGGACCGTACATGTCCGAACGACCACAACTTCTGTTTCCTTCAATATTTCTTGAAGAAATTTTTACCATGTCTTGATGGAATAACATACAACAGATCAATGGCACTCTGAATGAAAATAAACCAAAGAAAGTTGGAAGATTTGACAACAAAAGGATAATTATCGCACAACGGACGAAAGCTAAACGGTGCGCAATTTTATCAGAATGTAGTTCATCAGAATCATCTCTTTCAGCCATAGATATTTAGATTACAGGTACACGCAGTGCGTTTGCCTAATATCACACAGTCCTAAACATCAGTGGCAGTGGTACAGCTCTCACATGCTGCACTACCGCACATACGCAGTTACCTCATGGATGGAATGGGCAGAATATGCACACAGGATTGAAGAAATCTCCTGCCCATAGGCAAACGCACAAGCTGACATCACACAGATTTCAAAAATGTATACTTTTGCATGTCCATTCTGTACAAGTGAGCCAGGAAACTGCGCGGAGTGTCAACAAACCACTAAAAATGGCGAAAATTCAGGGTATATTTAGGTCTATATTCAGGGTATGTTCAGCACTTTTCATACAGCACCATCACGATGCAGGCAGATAGCTGCACTAAAACTTGCCCGGTCCATAAGTATCTCCTTCCTCTTCAATAGTGGTCTCCTCCCAGCCCTTCTTTCGCCTTCTTCTTTTCTTTCTCTTCTCCTTCTCTTCTGCTGTGCTCCCTCACTGCCCATCCATAGTACGTCTGGAGAGTGTCAATGGCTTTGTCGGTGAGCCGGCCTTTCCCAGACAACGCCTTGCCGTCTGACAATTTCGTACCCTTCATCGTCTTCTTCAGCTCCCGCAAGCCCGTTCCGATGCGTTTCTGTACATGTCCAATGCACTCCTCCTTTTCAATGGCTACACCATTGTACGGGTCAGCTTCAACGACAGAATTGAATGCCTTACTGTCGCCATCTCCGATGTACGTTGTATACCGGAGACCACGATCAGCAACAGAGCGACTCCATATGATGACAGCTGCCTCGCTCTCCATGGCTGGTGCAGATTGCGCTGTATTCACTCCACAGGTGTGGGTACCTTTCCAGGCAGTGAAATCAGCTGCACTAATTCTCCCGGACTCCTTCCGGTCGTTCCACACGACACATTCCTGGCAGTACTTGCTGCTCACGTGTATGTCCAGTACACAGCCTGTTCTCCACGATATACAGGCAAAGACACCGTAGAGAGACGTATAGCCGCGCCTCATCCAGGTGCCATCGCAAGTTACCGCCACTGTGTCGCAACCATTCAGCACCTTCACCTCGTCAGCAGCATTGACCATGCTCTTATGAGCCACAGTGGCTGCAGCGATCACGAGCGCTTCCTGGTGACGGGTGTAGGCATGTGTGTTCACAGGGCTGGGCATGTCCATGGTTCCGCAGAACTTATTCAGAGCGGCACGTCCCTTGCCAATTCTCCGCATGGCTAACACTGATCGCCGGTTGACGTCAAAGAACCGCTTCTCTTTCAGGCATAGGTTTTAAAATCTCCAACTGTGACTGCATAAGACATTGTCGCACTGCACGTGCACCACCGATGCGAGGCCAATGGCGCAGCAGTCAACAATATTTATTTTTCCAGATTTGCACTCGCTACACACAGTGGCCACGTCCAGAAGCTCCTGAAGACATTTCAGGTACACAATTCTGTTGCTCCGCAAGCAATCCTCTTCTATCTCTTCTCCAGATCCCTCAGACGCCTCAGTATCGTCGTCCTCAGAACTGTCTGGGTTCGAGTTCACATCTGAGCCGTCGCTGCTGTCAAAGCTTTCATCAGCTAAATAGGCCGGCTTCCTGCTCAACTTTCGCGTGGACGCGCTCTTCTCAGTCACTTCAACATCACTGGCGACCTCAGGAACCTCAACGACATCGTCGACTTCAGCAGCAACTGGCTTTGGACCAAAATATTTCCTTTTCTGTCGTCTAGAACGTCCACTCGAGCTCGTTCTTCGGTTCCCCATTGTTCAAATTTCAAGGGAACTCCACGAAAAAATGAAAAGTTGATAGCCTGTAGAGTTTCGGGCGCTGAGTCGAATGGTCTTGGTCCGAAGTCTCTACGAGAAAGCGTTCTTGAGATATTTCAATTTTAGCCACGCCCCATACCAATGTATGTGTGACGTCATTGTGGCATGTTGCGAAAATACTTGGATTTTGAATCTCACTTTCTTCAGGACGAAAGTCACTTCAGAAAGTAGTTTGCCAAGTCGCCTGAGCCGCTGCAATGCCAAATTGTTGTGTTGTTGATTGTGCCAGTATCACATCATCCTCCTGGGGTTAGTTTTCTCAGATTCCCAAAGGATGGAGACCTGGCAAAGCGCCGAGATGTTGCAATGCGTCGTGAAAATGTCAAGCCTATTTTCGCAGCACGAGCTATGTTTGCTCGCTGCATTTATGATCCAGAGGGACTTGAGAGCTGAGTTTTGACGAGTACGCCGTCCAGGAAAGCCCTCATCAGTGTACCAGTGCCCTCCGAACCGTGAGCCTCCAGCAAAGCGAACTCAACAAGCTACAACTGAGAAAGCAGGGCGAGATACGTCCCATCAGGATCAGAAGAGTACATCACACCATCAACTCCGACTGCAGCTAGCTGATGAACGATATTACCCCAGTAACTTTGCGCATACCAGTACTCAAACTGTGCACATCTGTCATCAACTGGGACGCAAACAGACAGACCCCCAGCAAGTACGAAGGTTACAGAACTGTTTGCTTGCGATGTGCAGGCAGCATGCACGACGAACTGTCTCACCAATCCTGCCAAACTGAACCAGTGTAAGTTGATTGCGTGGATATGTCTCTATTTATAACAGCTACCCTACTTCTAGGCATGGTTGCATGAATACCATATCACTCAGAGCAGTTGTTAGAAGTTTGAACAGCCTAGGAATAGTGCAAGCAAAGTGAAACAAAAAATTATTACACTCCGAGTTCCACGCTTGCGGGATCACCAGGCCAAAAAAAATCCAATTTCGAACAAGGAATGGGTTCTGGTTGTATGCGAAAGAAAAGTAAGTGAAGACCTATTGTGCAAGGAATACAGTGGGAACTACACATATTATACACATGCACTCACACCTTCACCCACATGCGCGCGCGCGTGTGCGTGCACACACACAAACACGACAACACACACACATACGCACTCAGATACTCAAACTCACTCCCACGCACGCTAGCCTAAGGATAGTACATATGCTGTAGTAGTGGTGTACTTAGTGAAATGACTATGTGTACATCTAATGATGCCGCCACTCCACGCCAGAAGACAACAAACATCTGCTGAACATTTTTGCTCCCGTCTCTTATGGGCAACACAGGGAATGAAACGAACAATGCAATTGAGAACAAGAGTCGTCCTGTACGGTGAAGTTTCCATTTTCTCATACAGCAGTATATTGTCTAAGCAAGTGTGTTTTCTCCACATTCTTTTTGCCATGCAGGTATATCACAGTGTCCTGCCAAACTACATTCTCAAACGCATTCGTTTCTCAATTCTGGGGATGATTGGACACGCACATCTCGCAGCTCTTGACGACGTCAATGTCAACCGTCGCCACAGCACAACCAAAAAGACCAATAATTATTTTCAAAACGAAACTCCGTCAAACCCACCCACCCACAAACGAAAACATTTCGTTTTAAAAATATTATTGGTAACCTTGGACGGCCCCTAAAGAAGACTGGCCAAATAGAAATTATACGACAGAAAGAGCTATGAGTATGTTGACAAGCTCATGTGTGAGGTGGTAGCGGTTGCAAATGGCAACCTCGATGTTCCTGCCTTGGAGAAGCGAGTTTCCCTGCCAAATTCCAGGTGGAAGCCTCCTGAGAAGGCTGAGGTGGTGCAGAATTGATATCTTTGCCTGATGGTATTCACAACGCAGGCTGGAAGACGACAACGAACGTGCTTGCCCAATTTGCCGTGTACATAGTGTGTACTGCCTGTGTGCCGCATAGCGTAGAGATCTACACAAACACAGAATGTCATATGGAATGTGTATGATGAGTGCTTCGTGCTTGTACACATACCACATTGCTGTACCGTAATAATTATTATAGTCAAATACTCATTTACTCTACATATGCGCTGTATTGCATCTACCGGTACCTACCTGCACTTTCAGTGCGCGCGCCATACTAATTTAGTGTCCACTGGTACAAAGATGGAGGGTCTTGTAGAATTTACCATAATTGCTGATTTCAAATTGAATTCCAATGATCTGGGGGATGAATACTGATTAGGACGCGTTCGATTACCTACTAGTACAGAGATGTCTTGGTCAGAAAGTACAGATTTCTTACTCTCCTGCCAGAATTTGTGCATTATTTTGGTGTACACTTTCTTGACCCCACGCTTGTACGTTGCATGCCATGGTATACAAGAAAACGAGTTTATTGACAAAGTCTATCGCTTGAAACGATAAAGTATGGGTTCGGGTGTGATCAAATGCACCCATGGTGCTCATAAACTGTGTGCAGTGCTCTCTTCACCAACAGAACACTACCTACCATACTTTGTAGATCTCGTACCAATCCAAGGGAAAATGACAAAGACAAATGTGAGTCATGCATGAAAACTTGTGATAGCACTATAGTACAGAACAACGTTGTTCGTGCTATGCCTGACAACAATAAGTTACCCACAAAACATTACGCGCATCGATCCTCACAAGATAAGTCAAGACATACTCGGAGCAAAGAGAAATTTGTTTGTGTCATGCATGAAACTTGTGATAACTACCAGTACAATGTCTTTCTTGTGCGACGCCTGCTGTAGTGCGCCTGACAACAATAAATTTCCCCAAAAAAATAAGAATAAGTGTATCATGCTGATACGCGCTCCTCACAAGACAAGTCAAGGCATTGAGGCTTACCTAATGTCAGACTCTTCTGTCACTGGCATTGGCGGCTTCTGCATGTCGAGATAACCTCGAAGAGCAGTGATGGGCACAGCCTAATGCAATGGATACGATCTCGTAATCTGCGAGGTCCGCTACGCAAGAAACCTTGGGCCGTCTTGTCGACAACGACGGCAGCATCCTACCAGCAAAATCATTCCCGCAGGCTGGGCATGGCTATACACTTTTGTCCACGCTCGCACCAGTCGGAGTCCCAAACGAATCGAGATTCTGGTGGCCAAGCTACTCGTCTTCTGTCGGACGCAGCTGCTGAAGCATCTTCTTCCTCAACATTTGTTACACGCGATGGCAGCTCCTCAGCAGAGTATCTGGGCTCCCTGCCCCAACCATACGCGGCGGTGGGCTGTTGGTCGTCCTCACTGGCCTCAGCATCGCTGCCTTCATTGCTGGGGACAGAGGATTGTTCGGAATCGCCCATCTTCCCTTGAAATACCAACTAAAATTAGTGCTTGTAGATTGGCGAAGAGAAACGACTTTGCCACAATGACGTAGCCAGCCCGTGATGATGTAACCAAATGGCCGCATGACGTCAGGGCGCGGCCCCCGTTTTTGCAATTTCAAAGTGAAATATCTCAAGAACGCTTCGTCGTAGAGGCTTCGGACCAAGACCATTCGACTCAGCGCCCGAAACTCTACAGGCTATCAAAGTTTCATTTTTTCGTGGAGTTCCCCTTTAATAATAATAATTATTTTGTTCTCAAGGCATATGAAGCTATTCAGCGCTTCTCCTTGTACGCCATGGTATCCAGTAGCAACGATTTCAAGGCAAAAACTCGCTAGTAGTACGCGGTTTCAGTGAAAATCACCGACTGCATGGAGTGCAAAATTGTACAAATTTTCGTTCCGTGCGTACTCATTTTCATTTGAATTGTTGAATTTGAAACGGTCGTAACTTTGGAACCAGTAGTCCGTTTCACCAAATTTTTGTTTCTACACCCTATAGGGTCCGCTGGCCTAGTTGGATACCCAAAACAGCCAGAATTGAAACTTTCAATTTTTGAGTATCTGAAGGGTCATTCCCCCCACCAAATTCTTCAGGGCACGTGAACACTCCTGGCTGCACATACTATTGGTAGCAAAAACCAAGGGCGTGAATGCACCTCTCTCCACATGTATTACCCTCTGCAGGTATGCTCTCTTCTTCTGTTGCTCATTCCTGGTTAGCTGAGCAAGAACCTCCGCTCTAGGCCTCGACCAAATATGCTAAAAATAAGAGCATAGTATGCTCGTCGCATATCAGGGAAAACGTCCATAATATGCCAAAGGCTTAGCAAGATATGCAAAAAGATATGCCAAAATATGCCAAGATATGCTCGACATAAGCAGAAAGTGTAGATCATTTCAGTAAAATTGCAACCTTGGAATATTCACTGGCTTCACGGCTATCATGCTTATGGTGCAAATCAAAACACATGCGGAATAGTATGGCTGGGGTGTGTCCGCAGCGCTGCAACCGTAGCGATAGTGTTCATCCATGGGGAAATGTAGCAAACGCCTCAACCATTCCAAATTCATCCATAAAAGGCATTTCTGAACGCATTTTGTCCATAATATGAATGTTTTGTCCTCGTTTTCTTCAGAATATTTGAATTATATGCTGGCTTCATTCCAATATTCCCTTTGTCGCTCCATATGCCATAATGAACTGTCTCACAAACAATATGCGGAAATATGCGCAAGCAGATTTGGTCGAGGCCTACTCCGCTCTCAACAGCAAGGACGCTGAAGGATGATTCACCCTAACATCAAAGAATGCGTCTTGCTGCCGAGACCAGAAGCCCCTTGCACAGATATCCAGACGAGCCTCCGGACGCCGGTTAGTCGTGGCACCAGGGAGCGCTTCACGCTCGAGTGGGAGCAGCGGAGGCTCAATCCGCACATCGGGGATGGCTGCATCCATGGCCTCGGCAATCAGGTCACGCAGAGCATTGTGCCGTAGAGTGGGGTACCCCCAGTAGGGCACGATCGACGCTGAAGTCCGCACCACACACGCACGAGCTTGGAATGTCCCGCAAGGGCCAGCCATATCGTAATGACAACGCGTCAACAAACTCCACCTTGTTATTTAGGAGGCTCCGAACAGTTGCGCAGCGCAGTGTAAAAAGGGCACCTCCGAAATCTGTTTTTTTGCCGCGAGATTCGAAAAATGTTGTGTTCCATGCGGAAACAAGCTGTTGTTCAGAAAGAAGTTTTTTGATTTCTCCGTGCTCGTGTAGTATCCCTGCTTTACAGTTTACACATGACTAGTACTAGTAGTACATGTATTCATGCTAGCACGCGACACTGTAAATCACCTCTTGTCCCACCGGTTACTCCTAAGTGCTTCTCCCAACAACCACTTTAATACTTTGAAGTAGGACTACTAGACAACCCTGCCTGCAGACCGGTACGGCATGACCTGTATACATGTTGCACACATTCATGCTGTACTACATTACATTGATTCCTATAGCCCGTTCCTCATCACTAACTCTTTTGATTACTAGTTCAGGTTTTTACAGTGCCGTTTCCATGGTTGTAGCCAATGAGCGACGTTCCCGCGGTGGCCTTGATGAGCCTATAAAGGCCCGCACGCAGTCAGCCTAGCTCTACAGTGCAGGGGTCTGCGTCAGTTTTCCGCTGCCATCTCAGTTCATCTCAGGACCTTGCCGTCCTTGGCTTTGGAGGAGAGTAGAGTAAGTACATGGTTGAAACCAGGTCTACAATCATGTAGATTGGGCATGCCTGTAGACATGACCTCATGCCCAGTTCTGTTCATTGATGTAATAAACATACAAGTACTATGATGTAAGGTAGCAAAGGTGGCTACATGTAGTAAGCAATCCAGTATTCTACAAGCTAATGGCGATGTTGACAACAGGTTTGTACGCGTGTCAGTAAAGGAGTGACAAAACTAAACAGCTACAACCTGAAAACAATTCAAAACATTCTTCTTCTTCAAGGCCAAGGGAAAAATGGCAAGAGTTCTTGCCACCACGTCCCCTCCACCTCTAGGTGGTATCGCGCTTATATACAGTCTACGAGTACGAGCATGAAAGGACGACTTAACCCCTGAGGAGTAAATAATTGGAAAAAATGGCAAGAGATCCATCCACCACGTCCCCGACCTCCACCCCGCGGCCGTACGCATGAGCTTTGGCAATTCTGCAACTACTTCTTCTAAAAAAAATGGCAAGAGATCTTGCCACCACGTCCCCGACCTCCACCTCTAGGTGGTATCGCGCTTATATACAGTCTACGAGTACGAGCATGAAAGGACGACTTAACCCCTGAGGAGTAAATAATTGGAAAAAATGGCAAGAGATCCATCCACCACGTCCCCGACCTCCACCCCTAGGTGGTGTCGCGCTTATATACAGTTCGCAAGTGAAACCTGACCATGAATCAAGGCCAAGGGCGCCCGCGGCCGTACGCATGAGCTTTGGCAATTCTGCAATTACTTCTTCTAAAAAAATGGCAAGAGATCCACTTATATACAGTCTACGAGTACGAGCATGAAAGGACGACTTAACCCCTGAGGAGTAAATAATTGGAAAAAATGGCAAGAGATCCATCCACCAAGTCCCCGACCTCCACCCCTAGGTGGTGTCGCGCTTATATTCAGTTCGCAAGTGAAACCTGACCATGAATCAAGGCCAAGGGCGCAGGCCAAGGCGCGTAGCCCCGAGGCCTGCGCCCGCGGCCGTACGCATGAGCTTTGGCAATTCTGCAACTACTTCTTCTAAAAAAAATGGCAAGAGATCCACTTATATACAGTCTACGAGTACGAGCATGAAAGGACGACTTAACCCCTGAGGAGTAAATAATTGGAAAAAATGGCAAGAGATCCATCCACCACGTCCCCGACCTCCACCCCTAGTCGCGCTTATATACAGTTCGCAAGTGAAACCTGACCATGAATCAAGGCCAAGGGCGCAGGCCAAGGCGCGTAGCGCCGAGGCCTGCGCCCGCGGCCGTACGCATGAGCTTTGGCAATTCTGCAACTACTTCTTCTAAAAAAATTGGCAAGAGATCCACTTATATACAGTCTACGAGTACGAGCATGAAAGGACGACTTAACCCCTGAGGAGTAAATAATTGGAAAAAATGGCAAGAGATCCATCCACCACGTCCCCGACCTCCACCCCTAGTCGCGCTTATATTCAGTTCGCAAGTGAAACCTGACCATGAATCAAGGCCAAGGGCGCAGGCCAAGGCGCGTAGCCCCGAGGCCTGCGCCCGCGGCCGTACGCATGAGCTTTGGCAATTCTGCAACTACTTCTTCTAAAAAAAATGGCAAGAGATCCACTTATATACAGTCTACGAGTACGAGCATGAAAGGACGACTTAACCCCTGAGGAGTAAATAATTGGAAAAAATGGCAAGAGATCCATCCACCACGTCCCCGACCTCCACCCCTAGTCGCGCTTATATACAGTTCGCAAGTGAAACCTGACCATGAATCAAGGCCAAGGGCGCAGGCCAAGGCGCGTAGCGCCGAGGCCTGCGCCCGCGGCCGTACGCATGAGCTTTGGCAATTCTGCAACTACTTCTTCTAAAAAAATTGGCAAGAGATCCTTACTCGTAGACTTATATACAGTCTACGAGTACGAGCATGAAAGGACGACTTAACCCCTGAGGAGTAAATAATTGGAAAAAATGGCAAGAGATCCATCCACCACGTCCCCGACCTCCACCCCTAGTCGCGCTTATATACAGTTCGCAAGTGAAACCTGACCATGAATCAAGGCCAAGGGCGCAGGCCAAGGCGCGTAGCGCCGAGGCCTGCGCCCGCGGCCGTACGCATGAGCTTTGGCAATTCTGCAACTACTTCTTCTAAAAAAATTGGCAAGAGATCCATCCACCACGTCCCCGACCTCCACCCCTAGGTGGTGTCGCGCTTATATACAGTTCGCAAGTGAAACCTGACCATGAATCAAGGCCAAGGGCGCCCGCGGCCGTACGCATGAGCTTTGGCAATTCTGCAACTACTTCTTCTAAAAAAAATGGCAAGAGATCCATCCACCACGTCCCCGACCTCCACCCCTAGGTGGTGTCGCGCTT